GTCAGGTAAGATCCTGGATGTTTCTGGGAAAAGGATTTTCTTATTTTCCTTTTTTTTTTTTATAAATGAGGTTCAGAGTGACTGAACATTCTGCAGGGATGAATTTAGGTGTTCATTCAAGTGTGGAGTCAATTGTTTACTGCCTGTCGCAAGAGGATGCAAGTGATTGTAGCTGCTGCTCTCATCTATATGGAAGCTACTGCTGTGCAGGTTGCAGTTGTGATTCTTATTTATACATCTTATTGTTAAAGAAATCAGTATCTAACATGAGTATATTCTAAATCTAAAAATCTTATTTTAACTGATTCTTTCTCAACAATATTCAGAAATTACTTTGCTTTTAATTAGCAATTTATACAATGAGAGCTACTGTGAGGTTAGGGTGTATGGTGAATCACGAACCCAGATCTAATATATCCACCATGTGGAAAGTTGTCTTCTGCAGGTAGTTTCCAGCCACAGAAAAATTAAAATATGAAATGATTGGTGCAGGGAAAATCAAGAAAATGCTTTTCAGTGTTTATTGCATTGCCTCATCTCATGTCACCAGATGACAGATGTAGCAAAGTGTCAGTGGACTTCCAGCTGTTCTGTGCTGAAGGGAGAAAATCACTGATTGTAATCTTAATTATAAATAATCTTCATTACAGTTAATTGCAGTGAGTGTTAGCCTAACTAGAGGATTCAGCTTCTGTGCATGGTGCTGTAAGATGACTCTGCTTTGGTCTTCTTCCTCTGCTGATACTGTGGCTACGTGCTCAGAACAAGCCCCAGTCAGCTCCATCTGTAGCATCCTGCAGTACTGTGTAAAAGAAGACAGTTTTGATAGGAAACTGCTTCTACTTCTGGAAGAAAAGCACCTGTGCATTTCTGTGAGTTCTTCTTCTGCCACTTGGAAACGTTCCACTCGTATCCTCCTGTCAGTCTGTTTTGCTGCCTCAACACCCTATGGGAGCTGTTATGTGTGCTTCTGGCTCAACTATTGTGACTGGCAGATTCGTGATGTTGGGCGTTTCTGTTAAAGACATTGCATTTCTGCATGGTTTCCCCTTCTATCCTCAAAAGTTGTGATACTGAACAACTGAAATGAAATGTAAGTTGCTGCTCTGCTTGCAAAAATTGCTGAAATCTGGCTAAGAATCAGTCAACAAATCTGATAAAGCTTACTGACATAGAAGCATGAAGTGTCTGAAGTGTCGTGAAGTGTCAGCATGAAGTGCTGAGAAGTCAGCCTGTATTTTGAAATAGGACTGATCATCTCATTCTCGGAAACAAAATAATAAAATGTGGAGCAGTTGACACTGTAAATCAAATTAGTGAGTCCAGGCAACGGCAGTGTCTAATGCAATCAAGAAATCATAGAATGTTAATAGAGTCCTGTTAAGGTGGCTGATGCTAATCTGTTGGCACAGAAGGAAGCAGACTCAATCAGACTGATGTATTGGGGTGATGCAGTGCAGTGCAGTCCGGCCAGCAAATCAATGTGGCTGTGAAGAGCTGCTGCAGGGAGCTTCCATGGACTTGTGCTGCTGACTGGGGCTATCTTTACACTGCTCCTAAATCTAGAGGCATTCCTAGTGCGATATAATAAAACTGATGCTGTCAAGGGCTTTTCTTACAGCCAGAATTTATACCTGGAGGTTTGAGACTCTTTTCCCTGCCTTCCCTTCACATTCTGCATCAAACTCTGAGGTCACTGTAAGCATGAGCTTTCGTTGTGAGGCCAGCACTTTTACTGATTTCTAGCCAGGCTAGTGGCAGTTCTTCTCCAGGGAGCTGCTGTTTTCTTTGGAGTATTTGTGAAGTCTTCATGATTTTATATTTATATAACTTCCATTCTTCAAATGGTGGACTCACTGTCCCTGGAGGTGTTTAAGGAAAGGCTGGATGTGACACTTAGTGCTGTGGTCTGGCTGATGTGATGGTGTTGGGTCATAGGCTGGACTTGATGATCTCGGAGGTCTTTTCCAGCCTCGGTGATTCTGTGATTCTGTGAAATGGAAAGGTTTTTATTCTGGAAAAATAAAACAAACAAAAAACCAAACCAACAATCCCTGCAAACCTTTTAGGATCTTTTTTTTTCCAGATAGAAGTTCCTTCAATTTTACATTATTCTCCAGGACATGCTTAATCCAGACTAAGTAGTGCTAGAATGGTATTGGTTAGGTAGCTGCTTATGGTCTTTTGAAGTTGAAAGTGTTAGTGCAACTGCTGGCATTATTTTCCCTGATGGGAAGCCCTGCAAAACCTTTTAGGCTCTTTTTTTTCAGATAGAAGTTCCTTCACTTTTACATTATTCTCCAGGACATGCTTAATCCAGATTAAGTAGTGCTAGAATGGTGTTGAATAGGGAGCTGCTCATGGTCTGCTGAAGTTGAAAGTGTTAGTGCAACTGCTGGCATTATTTTCCCTGATGGGAAGTGCATTTGTATTTGCTTCTGTTTTCCATGGACAGCATACTGTCCTGGAGGTAAACACCTTAAAGTTGTCATGCCAGAGTCTTTCAAGTTTTCACTTTTTCTATTTGGGGCTCGTACAGATTATGTGAAAATCTGCATGTGCTTGTTGCTGTGTTACATTACCCTGCCTTGAGATTCACAGTCTTCGTGGCTGGTGGGGTTTAAGGTTATTACTAAGAAACAGGACTGTTTTGTAGAAACATATTTAAAAATGCCATGCTTGGAGCCAGTTGTTCTTTGTATCACCTTCCCTTGAAAACCAAAACAACCTATATAAGCCTAAAAATTAACACATTGGAAGATATTATCCCCGACTATCAAAGAGCAAACAAAAGAAAAAAAACAAAAGAATTGAGGATCAGGAAAAGAGAGCAAAACCCAAGTAAATAGGATAGATTGTGGTAAGAAATGTCTGGGAAGGAATAGTTAATAATACGAGGAGATACTGCACAGACATTGTGCAGCATCATCGGTAGATGTGGATCCATTTTAAGCCAAGACAGTGAGTTTACACCGTATCAGTGCGCTTTTCTGGGTGGGACTGTAGCTGACTGGGTATGTACTGACTGAACAGAATCCACTTTACTTCAGCTTCACTAATTTGGCTATGAAAATGTGAGCCAACCCAAAAGCCCGGCCCAAGAGCCATAGTACCAGTACTGATGAGCCGTAGGGCACATACAGGCAGAAAGTAGTAACATCTGCGAAGGCTTATCTGCCTGTCTGGAGATACAGGAATAGCTTTGTCACTTGGATTGCTCCGCATAAGCACACTTTTTATAGAGCAGAAGCTGGCAAGATGCTTGTGTTACCAAGAATGAGAACATGTAAGCGGCTCACAAAGGGAAAAAATGACTTTAAGGTTGTTGTAGATACATCTATATACTCGTTTCTTGACGCCTGGTGCAGTGAGGTGTCTCTCTGTGGGACATCTAGGCCTTCAGTATTACAGTAAAACTTGGGATGCCTCATACTTTCTGCTTTTCTCAGTGTTCTTTAATGGACGTTTTTCTCCTATAACTGTCTTATCCAAAGACTGAATTTTGCAAATTCTCCTTTTCCCATCTGTCACTGGCTTTTTTGTGGTGCTTTCTGTTCTCATGATTTGAAATTTTGGAATTCCTGTTCTTCCAAGCATTGATCAAATGCATACTTTTATTTGTTAGAATTACAGAGTAGTTTTCTTTCTGCTGCTATTTTGATGACTGTAATAAGTTTTAGGATATATATACATGAGTAGAGGAGCACCAAGGTGTTGTTTGGTAAGGCATAATTCCGTTTGCTGTTCCCTATCATTAGTGAAAGGTTCCAGAAATCTGTAACAGTAAATGTGATGATCTATATGCATTCTCTGGTAACTGCCAGGTATTGTTGGACACATTCCCAATACACACTGTACTCTTTTAACAAACACTAACTCCTTAATAACCAATTATTTTGAATGTTGGGGTTTGGTGTTTTTTTTTAAAGCTATTAAAATGCTAGTAACTGATTACTATTTTTACACTCTTCTTGGCCATCTAAAATCTGCTTCCTGCTACCACCTTTCATTTATATTTCTGATTAGTTCAGCTATAAATGGAGCAAAAGTAGGACAAAAGGCTGTGACCTAATGGCATGTTCCCCCAAGAATAATGTAGAAGGATGCCTCCCCTGCTCGAGTTGCTCTTTTACTACTGGGAGAAAGAATGCTTTTGTGGACACGGCCTCAGGATATTAGATTTCAGGTCAAATGTCATCATTCGGAGAAACTAATAAACCCAAGGACACTGTCCTAGTTGGTAAAAAGAGTCCTTTCTGCAATAGCTGTAGTGTTTTAATGGGTATGGTGGATTTGATCCCTGGTGCCCTATTGATTTGAGGAGACTATATTGTTAATATACGGAGTATATTCCACTACTGCTTTCAAGCATTGGGCTGCTGTAGATATAAGGAGAACTGATGTAGTTATGCAGGTCTGGTTTGCTAATTACAAGTTAGTTTGTGATAATCCATTGGGAACGTCTAAGCTGTCTGTTACTGTACCTATTATAATGGGGTTTCACCTTCCTGTCTTCAGATTAAAAGCTTCAGGCTCCAGCAAAACAAAGCTGTCTGATGAAAACGGATCAGTGAGTGGAAATTCAGTAGTTTGTCTGTAAATCTGTGAGCTAAATAGGATGACACTTCTTTTAGAAAAGAAATTGAATTTAAATTGAAGCTATTGCTATGTTCTGGAGAAATGCTGCTTCGTGTCTTGGAAACAGATGTCCAGTTCGAGTGTTGGAATTGAACTGCCCAGTGAATTCAACAGGGAAGAATTTATCTTTTTGAGTCACTTTATTAGCTGAGAGTGATGCAGGCATGTGTTTAACAAGAACTTGTTTTACTCCCTTCTGTTAGGTGGAAGCAAGAGATGTAATTTTTGTGCCATCCTGAGAATTCTGACTGACTGTCTGTTGAGATCGAAGTATGTGCACTGACCAAAATGATCCTCTTGAGCCTTCTACACAAGCTGTTTATTAATGTATTTTTCTTCTTTAAGCCTGGAGCAAAGGTGAGCATTGCCTTGGATTAATGTGAGTCTGTCTGTGTTTCCAGTTGGCCCACGCCGATTCAGTGGTGCTCAGTGGCACATGCAGAACATCCTCAAAGACTCTGTGGAGAGCTCTGATGATGAATTCTTTGATGCACGAGGTCAGTACACATTTTTGTCCTCCTCCCCCTATTCTTCCCCTAATTTTGCAGCAACATTATCCTCATCAGACTGAGATGTGGAAAAAAAAAAAACCAAACATGTGGGATGTTCTCTGGAATGGACCTAAACTTACAGGAGATGGGTAGAGTGCTGAGGTGGATGAGTGAGACGGCCAACTTGTAAAACCAGCGGCCTAGGTTTTCCACTCTGGGTGGAATCTCTTGTTCAAGAAGCAGCAATATCTGAAATTGTGGATTTAATCAGGTGAATCCAAAATACAAGGCTCCCTACAACATCTGATCCTCTTTAAGATGCCAAGTTTTATTCTGAAGTGGGAGGAAAGTTTATAAGTTGTGTGCATACACAACCTCTCACCTACAGTGGGAGACGGTGGATTTGGTTTTGTTTGCAGGAGCTAAACCTACTGCTTTCCTGACATGTTTAATTTGCTTTTCTGAAGAGGGGGATTAACTCTCCTACTGTTGTGAAATCCAACAGTAGGATCTTTCATAGTGCAGGCTATTGAGATCAGACGGAACTATCCTTATGTCCTCATGTTGCCTGGAAGTCAGAAGTGAAGGATGATGGAATAAATTTGTTGAATGTCCTTTAGCTTTTGTAGCAAACTGTTTTCATTAAGCACAAAGCCATCCGTATGGCTTTGAGCAACCTTATGCAATGGAAGATATGTCTGTTCATAGCAGGAGGGGTTGAATTAGATGGTCTTTAAAGATCTCTTATAATCCAAACAATTCTATGATCCTATGAAAAGGAGGGGATTTCCCCTTCCCCAAAATACTTATTGAGACTTCTTTTCTAGTTTAAAGTAAACCTTATTCAAAGTGGAAAATTCGTGTGTCCCATGGGAAATTTGGCTTGAGTTTGGATGTACTTTTTATTTTTAGTTTGATTGCTTCATTAACATCACACTCAGCAGACGTTCTGCTGATGTCTAAGTGCAAAAACATTTGCATGGCTAAGATTGTCACTCATTTCCTCCCACTGTTGATATTTATGGTACAGAGAGAAAAATCTCCTCCCTTCCTGACATTCTGTTCTTCTTGAATAGGGCCTGTTTGTAAGCAAATTAATTTTCTGTTATAGGATGCTTTTGCTTGAGTCTCATTGCTGTGGGCCGATGTGGTGCCAGGAGCCGCATGGTGGCATTGCAAATGGCCACTGGTGTTTTTAGGGCAGTGTTTGGCATTGAACGTCTGCTGTCTTGCAGTAAGCTTCGTATTTCAGCATGTTTGAATTTTCTATGTGGGTGGAATTGTTGCAGGAGTGGTTAGCGACCGACTCTTGAGTTTTCATGCTGGCATAAGCTTGAGTTGAAATTCAGCTTGGAGGAGCTGTTACGTCAGGAGCTTTTTAGTTGCTTTAAAAATGCAGAGGGTGGGAGGCAGGCAGTGAAAATGAAACAGCTTTCGTGGGGAGATCAGCTCTGCATTCTGAATTGTTTGGATGCTCTGAAGCAACCTCACTGATAACTCACTGATTTATTTCTGTGAGCTCAAATTTACAATGTTATTTTCCTAAACAAACTAGTTTTGCAGAGGCATAATTAATATTAATCAGATCATTACTGTGCATTATTCAAAGTACAGGTTTGGATCCAGGATGCCATGACTAAAAGTTTATATGCCAGTTGCTCTGACAATGATGATGACTTTATTTGATGGGAAACCATTTATTTTTCATTTTCCTTTCTGTAAATTGTCTTCTGTAACTGTAAAATTTATGACAACTTTAAAGTTGAAAGACAAGCTGCTTACATGAGAGTCAGATCTTGTATTTTTTTTTCAGTTGCCTTTTCCTCCTCCTGTAGGCAACAGCCTCAGTCAAACAAGGAAAGAAAATTTTTCAAAATAGAATGGAATTTGAAAACTTGGCACAAAATTCTGGCCTCACCTAGAACACTACAGCTGTCCATTGAAATCAGGGCAGTTCTAAGTGGAGATGGGTATTGGAATAATCAAATCAAACGGTTTGTGTTTTGTTGGTCAGGTATAGCAGGATGAAACTATGTGATATGTTTTATTCAGGAAATCTGGTGAAATGGTTTAATAGATCCTGCTGTCTTTAGAATATGTGAAATTGAATGTGGTCTTCTTTAGAAAGCATGCTTGCGTCTTCTTGTTTTATCACAGCTAGAAACTAATTGCTGACTGTACAAGTATGCTACAGCCACTGGACAGAAAAAAGAGATGTACATGTCTTCTGACTTAATTTGAAAGAATGTGCTCTTGTAGGTTTTTTCCTTCTTTTTATTTAAAAAAACCCCTACACCAGAATACATACCGAGGAACAAAATTCCCTCATTCGTTGCCTGTGTTAATAAGGTGTGTATTCAGTTCAGACACTTTTTGAAGTCTGAAAGATCTGATATGCATTGAATATTGGTTTTCTTCCCCGTTTCTGTGCAGTAAGGCTTGCGTAATAACTACTTGGCTGGGCTTACATAATAACCACTTGACTGGTGTAGAGGGTTCTATATCTCAGAATCAAGAAGCGATCCATGAAGAGTAAAGAAATAAGTGACCCAGAAAAGTAAATAAGTGAGAGGGTTTTGAAAAAATTTATAGGCACTGAGGAACAAAGGCCAACTATACGTTGTCTGATGTCATGCTGCCAGCTCATGCTCAGCCTGAAATCAGCTCAGATCTGCGCTTCTGATCTGAGATTTAGCAACCCATCTCTATTTGAAGAGGGATTTGAGAGCTCTGAGCTCTCTGTGTGTGCATGCACAAGAGTGCATGTTTCAGGAAATACATTGCTGAGCACTGATTATTTTCTCGCTCTTCTGAACCAAGCAGCTGTCTTACCTGAGAAGGACTTAGCACAGGGATGTTCCAGCTGTCTACACAGAGAGGAAAGAAATATGGATGTTGTAAGCTGATTTGTCCCTTATAATCTTTATTGTCAGTGGGTAGGCACACAGACACTGCGGCTGGTACTCATATGATCCTTGCACTTAGGGGTTTTTTTGGTGGTATTTATTTGTTTGTTTGTTTTGTTTTGTTTTTTTCTTTCCCCAGATTGATGCTTCATTATTATAGCAATTTAACATCAGATTAGGAGTGCTGTAAATTGTCATAAGTACAAAGCTGATGGGGATGTGTAACTGAAATTTTGAGGAAGAGGCTGTGTGTGGCATATGTATGTAGATGCGTAGTTTATTTGGTTTTTTAATCATAAGAATGGCAGCTAGTTGTCTTGTGTTTTGGAGGCAAAACCAAAATCTCAAGGTATTTGTGTCACGTTTCATGAAACACTGTGCCCTTGAAGTACATCTCAATCTCTTTGTACTGAGGGAGCTAGGAAACAATACATTAATTAATAGTTACAGAAAAGCTTTCTCCATTCTTGTCTATCAGGTCTCCAAGCTTGGTTTGGCTTTGCCAGTTGGGAGGAAATCTGCTCTTTTGAGAAGGGGCTTTTTAGCTATGGCAGAATTGCGTGCTTCTGCCAGCAAGAAGGCTGAAAAAGGCATAAAAACTTTTGTCATTAGTTTGGCCTCCTTAAAATAAACCTTATGGCCCTGTTTTCTATATTACTATGTTCATAGAAAGCTGAATCTAATTGATGTGGGGTATGTATTTCAAGCCAGTCTCTGTGTGTGCTTTATTAAGATTCTTACTTGTGAAAGAGGCTGGGGTAGCTCTCTGCTAATGAAGAGCTGCTCTTAATATGCTGCACCTTCCTCTCCTGAAAATAGATCCACTAGTCTCATTCATTTAATATTAAAATACTCTGCTGAGAAGCTTGAGTGTTATTTGGAAATGCTGCCAGTGAGCTCAAGTGGAAGTTTGGGAGGTCTAAACACCCCTGAGTGTGTTTGTGCTCTTAAGGCAACAGGATGATGCAAAATTCTGTTGTGCTTAGCAAAAACCCTCTTAAGGTGTGAGGATGCTATCCCCCATTCACTAAAATAGGTGTGTTTTAAGAAAAGGCTGTGTTGCAAAGATGGCTTTTGAATGTCTCAGTGTCAAAGTATCCATCTTTTCCTGCCCCTGTCACTACTGTACTAAACCCTTTGCAAAGGGATGTCTTTTGCAGCATTGTCCTTGTCACCTTTCATTCAGACTAGATGGGTGGAGACAGGCTGAAAAAGTTGTCTTGCCCAGAGCCATAAACTACGTCAGTGGCTAAACTAGAAGAAAAATGTGTCTCACAACAAGAGTGAAGCTGATTGTTCCCTGAGGAAATGGACTTTGTGCTGGAGAGTGCATGGTATATCCCCTTCTTCCACTACCCAAGCTTTGTGATAGTGAAGCTCTTGCTCTCTACGCACCCCTAAAACTGGTTTAGTAGCTGCTATTTCCCTGTACCTCTTACAGAGGTAATCAGGACTCCTGGTGTTCATGCATTTTTGGAAGAATGGATGGAGAAGGATATTATTTTGTAGGAAATTCCTATGCGAGATGGTTTAGACTTGAGCTTTTCTGTTCATTGAGAGCCAGATATTGTAAGTGGACTTTCAGTTCTGGGTGACAAGGGAGCTTGTATCATAGGCAGAGGAAAGCGTATGTATGGAGTAAAGCAGTTAGCACTGTTGATGGATTGAACAGCACCAGAGAAGCTGCAGGAGTTTGTGCTGCAGTGAGGGGAACCTGTCCAGGAGAAAGGCCATGGCTTTCAGCTGGAAATGAAGTATCTTGATACCCTTACTCCGTCTCTGGTATTACATTTTCTGCACTATTTCTTACCTGTGTTTCTCACCCATTCTCTGTTATTTATACAGAGTGCTTCATCAGTGCTCGATGTTCTTGCAGCCGAAAGGATTTTCTGCAGCTGGAGCTGAGTACTGTGTTTCTTTATGGGAGAATTTGGAAGCTATCCCAGCCTCCACACCTACTTGTGAAATTTGCGCTTCAGCAACAGCCTGAAGTAGGAGGCAGAGGGCACAGCAATGGATACTATTAAAACGTTAAACTAGTGGCTGCTTTTGCTTTCTGAAAAACGGCTGGGGTCAAGCCCCAGTTCCTCAAAGAAATTTCTGGCTGACAGCCTTGTAAACAGATCATCAAGCACCTGTGTTTGAGATGGAGCAGCTGTACATGCTTTGGCTATTGATTCGTCAGCCCTAGCTAGCTACTTAATTTAGTGAAAGCTGTAGAGAAGGAAAGAGATAATATTTTGCTGTGTTCATTTTGCCCAACTTTCCTTTGTGCCTTGCTTTCCATGTGGCATGGGGTAAGTGTTGTGTTGGGTTTTTTTCGCTGTGTACTCTCCCTAGGTACAAAGACCATTCTGGGCTGTATACAGCCAGGCTGAAATGCTTTAAGTAAATTTGTTTGGAAAGGATTAATGCAGCCTTCTTGCCAAACAGCTGTCACATTGAAGGGTAGTGTTTTCCTACAGCGTCCAGGCCTGTTTGGTTTTGGTTTTGAAAGAGAGAATATCTGTGGTTTGTGTTTTGTACTTTCAGCTTTTCCTGCCACCCCCTCACTGGATGGGATCCCAATAAAAGAGGCAGTTCTCTGTGCTGTGGGCTTGGTGCCATTCTATTATGTCTCTGGCTGAAAACCTAAAGCTTTGTGTAGCACAGGTGGCTTTTTTTTAAAGGGGAAAAAAACATGCTTGAAAAGCCTTAAACTGGTCTGTCTGTCCATTCTCTGCATTTTGAATGATCTGGAGGGAGGGAAGAAGTCTGACTACTTCTGTTACTTGATATTAATCACTCAAAGTGATTTATTATAATTTTTTTTTAAGTAACTGCTCAAGATAAAGGGAAAAATTCAGACAGTCCTTTGTTTTCCATGGTTTTCCTTCACACAATATGTGAAGCATGTCAGTATACTGTAGGGCATATAAATAAGCAAGAGGCTTCCTTGGAGACTCCTGCATATGCTAACCTCTTACATATTCCCATTAGGGACCATAATGAGTGTTTATTTCTCTCTCAGTTACTAGTACCTATCCTTTTTCTCTTGTTTGTAACTGTAATTTATTCTGTTCTCATTTTTTCTCCTACAGAAGAGATGGTGGAAGGAAAAAGTGCCATTCTCATAGGCATGAGCCAATGGAATTCAAATGACCTTGTTGAGCAGATAGAAACAATAGGGAAACTGGAACAAAATCAAGGTAATATTTAGCTTGCCTTACATATTCATTTAAAATGTACAAGAAGATCTGACTACTGAAGCAATTAGTTGTCGGATATTATGTAAATAGTCAATAAAAATGTTGTTTACGGTATCCCATAGTTAACAGATTTACATAGACATTTTAGTGCTGGAAGTAAATTGCAGCAATCTCTTTCAGGAGGAAACTTCTTCTCTGGCAGGTAGGAGATACAAATTTATTGATGTCTTGGTTTGAGACCCCCAGGATAAAAATTCTCAAAGGCTCCTGACACTGGTGGCAATGACCATGGGGAAGAGGGGCAGCTGTGCCTATGGGGAGGAGAGGATGGGTCAGGTGACACAAATGGACCAATCACAGCATTCTATCCCATGGTGGCCAGTATAAAAGGGCTCCTAAGAAAAGCCCTGGGGCTTCTTGTACCTGCTGGGCAGGGAGGGTTGCCATGGGCTGTTTCTCACTCTCCCTGCGTTGCCAGTGTTCCCGGCTCCTGTTTTCATACTGCAGAGGAGCACCGTTCGATGGGACAGGTTGTCTTCCCCTGCCTCCCTGGGTGGGAGCAGTAGAGCTCCTTTTCTCTGTTTTGGACTATCATCAGGACTCTGGGCTTCAACACTCCTGTCTGCTGCCAAGTCTAGTTTGGGACTTTATCTTTCTCTCAGGACCTACTTGTCATCCAGATGTGGTTCCAGTATTAGTGCATTTTCTTTTATCTTTGAGCATATTTGCATACTTGTATGTCTATGCCTGTAGCTGGATGTCTTCATTGTTACTGTTAGTAGTAGTTGGTTTTTATTCATTAAACTGCTTCAAGATTTTTTTCAACCTTAAAGTCTCTCTCCTGGGTTCTTCTGTTATCCTCCCCTGGGAAGGTGATGGGATGATTACAGAGAGCGTCTGTCAAAGTTCAGTGGCTGGCCCACCCTTGAACTTTGACAGTTGACTTCAGTGGGAAGTCAGTGTTGGACTCAGCCACAAGACCACAACCTCTGCTTTGCATGTTTCCTCTAATCAACATATATAAGAAATCTGTTAGTCGTTGCCACGGGGTTATTTTGCTCTTTGAAGTCAGCAAATCGTTGTCTGGAATTTTTGAGGGGACGTGTGCTTGCAGGAGGATTTGGGGGCAGATTTAGGTAACTGTGTCCCACTGAGTGGGTAATGGGTGCTGATACACCAGTAAGAGTCTAGGACCTCAGGCAAAAGCGTAAGCAGTCTTCCTTAGTTGTTACTTTGTCTCTTACATTGCCTAGTCATTTGAAAATTAAGATTACCTCATTGGCTTTAGGAGGGAGAAGGACCCAACTTCCTTATCTATTGGTGATATGGGGCTGGTGTCATGGTGCTTCTCTCTAGCCTTTTAAAAAATTTGATGAATTAGTCCTTTTTAAGAGCCTTCTCAGGAGGATTTTCTTTACAGGTTTGCTACAGTCCTGAAGACAGCAGTGAACAGGTCTATTTTAGTATACAGATATATAAAAGTTATATTTATGAGTCGCAAACTTCTTGATTGTAGACACAATACACCCGATGTATTTACAGTTGTTAAATAGGTAATTAGAGAAGGCTTCCCTGTTCTGCATTTGCTATTAATGATATCAAGACCTCACATATGTTGCTTGGTAACTTCATTTGCAGTCATAGGTTCAGTGACAATTTGTAAGAGATGCTATGTGTTTTATAAATATGCCATTTTCTCTGCCACAAAGTAGCAAGAAAAATTAATACAATACTGCATCAAATATGAGTTGGTCTTCTAAGTGACTTGCTGAGAACCGGCTATCCTTACATTCTTGCAGATATTTATGTTTCTTCTAGGGCTGGCAAAGATTTAGAATAGTTATTTTCATTTTAGTATCCGTTATATGAAGATCACTTTGTGCTTTTCGTAGTGCCCTTTGTGTTGGGCTCTAAGAAAAGTGTTATAAGAGCCTGTTTTTAAGGGTTTCTGCTGTTAAGAAACAAGGCTGGTAAAAGGATTGTTGTTTGCATTATGCGGTGGAATAACTGCAGCAAAGAGAATGTGAGACCCAGGGTTGTGTGGAAGATCTGTGCAGAAATAAAATGAAGCAGTCCCCTGAGTTATGGTCCATCCTTTACATAAAAGGTTTCTATTTTCATTTAATCCCATTTTCAGTGATGTTTTGTAAAAGAAATTGTCATCCTTTCTCGTCTCTTACTTAATTTCTGTTCACACACAGCTGTTAGAAGAGGCTCTGGAGCCATTGTGCCTAACTCAAAGCATTGGATGTGTAGTATGTGTCTACATTCTGATAGTGCTTCACGTTAGCTCCTTGGAGCTTACTATGACTTTTAGGTCATAGTTCATTGTGATGACTTTGACTATTCTGGAACACAAATGTCAGGCAAGGACGGAAGTTGTTAAGAACTGAGCTAGCTCAAGTCTGAGCCAACATTACACGTACCATATTTCATTACACCAGAGTGTGATCTCACTGCTTCAGTAATGCAAAAGAAAGGAGAGTTTTAGCTGTAACACTGACTGCCAGTTAAAAATTTTCCCTGATGCACCCCTGCTAAATACAGCAGATTTATAAATAGGCAAGACAATTAAGTACATTTCCTTCTTTCCTCTGACACCTTGTACTCTCAAATGTAGTCCTATTGATTAGCTACTTCTTGATCATTCTATTTTTAAATTATTACTTTTTCTTTTTTTCCTTCACATGTTCATCTGTGTCTTACCATTATGGAATTATCTGCTAAATGCTGTCAGGTTATATTACAGTGTTGCTAGTACAGATAATTGTACCGTGCTTTTGTTGCAGCTCAGTGACACTGAATCAGTGTTACTGATTCAACAGTTGTAGAGGAGTCTGGTTAGCAACTGTCAAATACAAATGCTAAAGACAAAGAAGGGAGGAGTAGTGTGTTTGAAGGAAGACTAGATTGCCTTCTGTGCCACAGCATGAAGATAGTTTAGCCTTGGCCTGATTGTTTATAGTAAAAATTTAAAAGTTCAAGTAAAGCTGGGTTCTCTCTTTAAAAATGTAGGAAAGAGAAAGATGTCCTGTATGGCTTATTTCCCAGGGTACTTGACGTTCAGTGGAGAGAGGTGAGGAATGCGATCTGCCGATTTAGGCAAACCTCCTTGCCCTACCCACCCCCCACACCTCTCCCAGCTGGATTTGCTTATGGCTCTCAGAGAATGATGAATTCTTTGGCTTTGGTTTCAGAGGGATTTGTTACAATTCCGTTGGTCTCTAGGGTCAGAGGTTTTGCAAATGTGCATATATGCTAGTGCATATGTGGATAGCAGATCACTGGTTTTTTTCGTGGTTTAATAAATTGATTAATAAAGCACATAATTTTGGGCTTTTTGAACAATTGAAGATGTATGAGAAGATGCAGTGTACTCTGGGCATGAAGACCCCCTGGACACTGTTAGAGTAGTGCTGTAGTTCAAATGTGAGACAGACAAGGTCCTCAGGAACTTTATAAATGGCAAGCATATAATTTAATTCAGTCATTGATCCTCAGTGAGTACAGCTGAGAGCACTTGACCAGCACAGCCTTTCTCATCAGAGGTAGTAATAAGTCTTTGCGGGAAAACTGCCAGCAGCCTTTAAATTTATTAAGTTTTCATTATAGGAAATAACACAAACAGCAATCAAGCTGAATTAAAAACTCATACAGCTGCATAAATTATGTTGATGCAGATGCCTTCCCTGTTGTGGAACAAAAGCATTTTCACACATCATAGTCATGCATTTAAATTCATTCCTGGTGGAAAGTATCTGTCTGTTAGGCTAAGGAAAATTGCTGGTACTGAGCACTAGGAGCAAATTCAGCCTGTTGGATTTCAGTGTGTTGCGTTTCCTCTAGCCATCTTGAGTTCATACTTCAAGTATATATCGTTAATGTTTGTAAGGTTGAAGTTGTTGATTTGTGTTTGTACTCATGACAGTGCAGTGAGGTTGAGGTGAAGAAGTCTTTGCAAACCTGGCAGACTATTGGAATACTTTGAATTCAACATATGCTTTATATTTCATAACTTGAGTTTCTTTTTAGTGGAAAATTAGGATACTATACATTTGAACTGGCAAGCCAGGCAAATACATGTTGCAGAAGAAGTGTGTAATTCAATCCAAGCTAGTAACCGACATACACATTTAAACTTGTGTCAACATTTCAGAGGGTGAAATCCTGGGGGGAAAAAGTGGCTCGAGTACATATATACCTGTGAGGTCAACTGCGTAAGACTAAAGGTCACGTGAATAGTAGGGTTGTCTTCTCTCCCTCAGTTGCCCGTCTCTTGTTGTGTTTGGCCTCTATAAAATGTAGACTCAAGAGCTGGAAAGCAATACAAGAGTTTAACTTACCATTTCCTTTTTCTTTTGCCTCACACACACAAATTTAAGAATGAGGGAATCCAGAAACATCTGAGATGGATGAAGAACCATAGATCTCCACAGGGATATAAGAAGTGTGCCTGCTGTTGCCGGATGTTAGTAGTCCTGCTACAATTCAGAGAGCAGGCTTTACTGCTCTTCGCCCTTCTTTTTGTCACTTCCTTCCTCTCTCCACTCTCAATCCATCTTATTTTTCTAAAGAGTAGAAGAAACGTACAGCTTTCAAGGCATGGACAGTGCCAATGTATCTGGGCTTTGTCAGCTGGCCACCACCACACATCCCTGAACCTTTAATTGTAATGAACTGCAGTAAAAAAGAAAGTTAGTAGATCAGATTTGCCCTTCCTGAGCTGGTAACTTCTGCGTTGGGGAATTTTTTTCATCTCTACCTTGCGAACTGGTGAGCAGAAGCAGCTGACATTTTCTGGACCATTGCTGCAGACAGAGCTGCAGTGCAGAAATTAGTGCAAGCTACATTGCAGCTTCAGGCCTCTTGTTTTTGCATCGGATCTAATAAAACATGCACGCTTTATGGGGTTTTTTTGTCTTGTTTCTGCTTTTATATGTGGCTCTCTGGATTTCTGCCTGTCCTCAGTGAGCCAACAACCATTGCTGGACAACTGATTC